TGCAAGACAGAAGGATCGGTTGTGATATCTGGGCTTCTGGCTGCACGTCGCTCAAGTTTGCGGAGTCGCTTCCTGAGCTTGACCTGCATCGCTTGAACTGGGTCCTGAATGCTATAAAGCTGGAAGAGGTCCTTAGTGGTGATGCGGCTGGTGTGTGCTGGCAAGTTCAGCACTGATCGCACCTTGTAAGCATGCCAACTGCGTAGCTGCTTGGCCGACTCCTCGCTGAGTCCGACGTCTGAGAGGCCTGTCGTCAGTGTGCTCAGGACTGTGCTTTGCCAAACCTTAAGTCTCGACATGGTGCTCGCGTGCCGGCGATTGTAGACAAACTGGCGGACTTGATGCAGCTTTTGCTTGGCTTCCCCAATGCGGTAATGCAAGGACTGCAGCTCGAAGTGGTGGTAGGAGATCATAACCCCCAGGTACTTGCTACAGGAGACCCACTGGAAGGCGGGGAACGATTTGTTGGGCCCTATGCGCCATCCGCGAACCTGCTCGCCCTTGGAGTTGGTGATCCAGCAGCCGTGTTTGTTCATCACGTTTTGGGATTCTCTTCCCGCTAACTTCACTAAGATGACGCACTTGCTAGTGTTGACGCGAAGGCGGTGTTTGCGGACCTCCTCAAGTAACGCTGCGATGAGCGCATGAATGGCCCTGAGGTCCTTGTCAGAGCGGATAGTCCGATGGAGCGTGAGATCATCGGCATAGCCTGTCAGGAATTTCAAGACCTGCTCAGCACCGAATAGGTCAACCAGAGAGCGGAAAAGGTCACCTGTAAGGAACGAGAAGAGTGTGGGGGCGAGCTTACATCCTTGTTTAATGCCTGCTGTGGTTTCAACAGAGGTGGAATCTCCCTGCGCGTGAAGAACATAACGAGACCCGTCATGTAGAGCCTGAACAAGGTGGACTGTGTCCTGATCGGCCCCTTCTCTCTGAAGAAGGTCGATGATCTCTTGGCGAGAGACAGTGTCAAACGCTTGGCTGAGGTCAAGAGCAAAGGTGAGGCCGCCGACTAAGGCTGGGGCCTGTGTGCCTTGTTGCAAGGCATGTCTCGTGGGGTGAGCCTGTTCTAACAGGGATCGAGCCTCTCGCAAGTGATACACCACTCGTTCTAGCGCGTCTGACAGCCCCCGACCTGGTAGATAAGCGAACTGTGGCATGTGCTTGAGGAACGAGAGTGTCAGTGGTTGAAGCGCTTCTCTGGCCGCTCCCGCCAGTCCCTTTGCGTCAGGTCTAAGGATGCCCAGGGGTCTCAGGTTTGCGGGTTTGTCAGAGGGCTTGCCCGGCTTGGGTATTAAACAGAGATCTGCGTCGACGAGGTCGGATTCTAGACTGTCCTCGGCCTGCTTGGATGCTACGTGTTCGGAGAGGACCGGTGCAACGAGATCGCTACACAGCCTCCATACAGCCGCTGGTGCCGCTCCGTCTGGAACAGCTTTATTCGGCTTGATGGAATGTATGTGAGCTGCTAGTTTGGGCGGCTCCAAAGCAGGGAAAGCTCCATGCATTGTCCGTAACGGAGGGTGGGCCGCAAATACCTGATTGGCATAGTCCCTGAGGGCTGCTAGTTCCTGCGCTGGACCTAGGAGATGTCCTGTGTTGTCCTTTAGCTGAGCTCTGCGCGCAGGCTGCCAAGGCTGCAGCTTTTTGAGGGTCTGGAAGGAGATATGTTGATCACCTTCAGCTAGACACGCGTCCACCTCCGATATGAAACTCGCAATTCGATCTTTCTTTGCTTGTTTCACAGCCTGGCGGTGTGCCACTTGTGCCAGCTCAGCTTCGGTTTCCGGCGGACGTGGCGTGTTCTGATTAGGAGGCTGTGCCATTGCTTTAGGTGACTCGATCAGCTGTGCTGAGGGAGTGGTATTCGCAGCCCTGTCATGGGTGCGGGCCCGCCACATGCGACGGGTTTCCGATTTCAGCGGGATCGGTCTTCTTTTGGGAATTTTTGGGAAAAAGCGTTCTGCACCTTCCAAAAGCAACGCATTCCATGCCTTGGGGTCCTGGCAGGTGTCGATTCTGGAAGCGATCCAGTTGTGCAGGGCCTTGGCCGTATCGTCCTCCTCCCTGACTGAGGCTTGTAGAGCTAGTGAATCATACCGGCGCGTGCTGGGCTTGTGGGATGGGAGCAGCCAATGGTGTTGGAGGGGTACGTCAGCCTTGAGTGGGTAATGCCCTCCTTTCTTCCAGCTGCCCAACGGACAGTCCACCCAAGGGGCTGACCGTTTGGCTTTGCCTCCCGCCGTAGATTCTTTGGTTAGAATGAAGTCAATTTGCGACTCCACGCCTCCTTGTGAGAAGGTAGCTATATGGTCACATTGCCAGGTGTTAAGGGCAACCAAACGCAGCCTGAGCAGCAGATTGAACAAGTTGGATTCGTCAGGGCGGTCCTCAGTGGGTGGCTTCACGTGCGTTCCCACCAATGGAGAGCTCGGACGCAGGGAGGTGTTAAAATCGCCTGCTACAATAAGGGAGTCCCTCTTAGGCACCTGCTTGATCACCTTGGACATGACAGATAGTACCTTAGCACGGTCGTCCTTATTGGACTGGATGGTCTTGGCAGAAGACCAAGCGTGTTGGTACACCGCGACAACAACCAGCCGAGTACCTGCAATGTCCGCACGAGCTTCTAAGACTCTACCCGGGCTCCACTCCTTCCAGCGTAAGCTCTTGGGGACGAACTTGGGAGAGAATAGGATCATGACTCCATCAGCGCGAGTCGTGGATGGAGCTCGCGGTTCTTGCCGAGTGTTTCGCTTCGCTGCTTGTTTAGGCCGGGTGTTGGGTTTGGTAGACTCCGAGGCTGAGGAGATACAGTACCACCCAGAAACGCTGAATTCACTGGTCTCAGTCCAGTGCGTTTCCTGCAATATGAGGATGTCGCAGTGATGAGAGGCTTCAGCTGCTAGCCACGTTTTGAGTTCGCCCCATTGCTGTTGGCCTAGGTGGCCCGCGTTCCACGAAAGAACTCGAATGGATCTTTCCAACCTTCCTGCCCTGCGGGAGGCTGTGCCATATGCAGGGGAGTCAGCAGTCTGTGACTGAAGCTCTCTTCGAGTGGGTGGGGGGCGCACCCCCAGACGATCAACCAGGGTAGGTGTCAGAACCTGCCCTCGGTATGGTACGGGCCCGTCACTACGGACTGTCCTTCTACATGCTGTCTTGAACGAATTCTTACGAAGAGATGCAAAGTTTTGTGAGTGCACTGGCAATTGCGCCATCCGCTACTTTCGTCAAGAGACAGAAGCCTAATGACTCCCTCCACCGCGCGGAGGTGGAAACCCTACCGCCTACCCAGTGTTGCAATGTTTTAAACAGAGTCTGGGCCCAGGAATTGGGACCTGGCGGCTCAAAGCAGCTCCTGTGAGAAAAGGGAGAGGACCATGGCGTAGAAGGAGGCGCAAACCTTTACTGTTCAGAAAAGGGCCCGGTTGGAACCTCTAGCACAGCAGTTGCGCCCCAAGCCTGTTCGAAACCTCTCATTCAGCGCGGCCGCTTGAGCACTTGTGGCGGCTACTACGACTACTACTACTACTACTACTACTACTACTCCTACTCCTACTCCTACTCCTACTACTACTACTACTACTACTATCCTGCTGCCTGCTGATGTTGCTCCTGCTGCCGCTGTTGCTCCTGCTGCTCTTGCTGCAGCTACTGCTACTGCTGCTGCAGCTACTGCTACTGCCACTACCACTGACACTGCCACTGCCACTGCCACTGCTGCTGCTACTGCTACCGCTACTGCTGCTGCTGCTGCTGCTACTGCTGCTGCTACTGCTACTGCTTCTGCTGCTGCTACTGCCCTGCTGCTGCAACTGCCACTGCTACCGCTGCTGCTACTGCTGTTGCTGCTACCAGTACTGCTGCTGCTACTCCTACTCCTATCCCTGCCTTTGCTACTGGCGCTGATAGAGCTGCTGATGCGGATGTTGACTCTGATTCTGATTCTGACACTAGTCCTGGTACCAGTGCTACTGCTAGTAATAAAAACAACAATAGAAATTATTTCTACTATGACTGCTACTGCTACTGCTGCTGTCCCTTTACTGCCCCTGCTAGTGCTACTGCTCCAGCTACCGCTACTAGTCCTGCTCGTGCTAGTAATGCTCCTACTCCAACTCCCGCTCCTACTTCGTACTCTTACTCCTACTTCTACTGCTACGACAATTACTACCACACCACCACGACTACCACTGCCACTAGCACTACCGCTACCGCTACCACTACCACTAGCCCTACCGCTACCACTACCACTACCACTACCACCACCACTACTACTACGACTACGACTACTACTGCCATTACTACTACTACTACTACTACTACTACTACTACTACTACTACTACTACTATTACTACTACTACTACTACTACTACTACTACTACTACTACTACTACTACTACGACTACCACTACTACTACTACTACCACTACTACTACTACCACTACTACTACTACTACTACTACTACTACTACTACTACTACTACTACTACTACTAATGCTACTGCTACTGCTCCCACTGCACCTGCTGCGCCTATTGCACCTATTGCACCTACTGCGCCTACTGCTCCCACTGCCCTTACTGTTCCTACTGCTCTTACTGCTCCTACTGCTCCTGCTCCTGATGCTCCCGCTCCTGCTCCGGCTGCCGCTCCTGCCACTGCGTTTTCTATTGCCACCACCACCACTGCCGTTCTGGTCATGATTTCGGATCGAAGAAGCTAGGAAGTGGTGGGTTTATTGCTGGAACTCCTTGTCTTGGTAGCAAGATTGTTTACTGGGGTTTGCTGTTTGGGATTCAGGGTTTCAAGATTGAAGGGTTCAGGTTCAGGCTTCGGGGTTGGGTGTAATGTAGGGGCCTAAATGATTACATATACTATCCTGGGGGTTCCTTATTATGATCATAGCATAATAATGGGCCCCAACACCCTATTCTAATCATTAAGGCCCCTAAATTACTTGATTATATTCCAGGTCCTCTGTCAGCTGTCCGCAGGTGCTGGTGAAACGGATGCCCAGGAAGCCCGTCAAGGAAGAGAAGGCAAGCTGCCGATGAGCTTCGGGTGTAGGTAACCTGTAGCCGAAAAGATCTACCTTTTTAAGGAACTATGTATAGAAACCATAAAAAAGGTAGATCTTTTCGGCTACAGGTAGGGCCAAGTTTCGGGTTGAAGGTTAATCAGTTAGTATATTCAAAGCAATGCATCAAATGTGAAAGATCTGTTGGCTGCGGCAACGGAAGCGTACCGAAAGAAAAAGCAAAGCTGCCATTGCTCCGTAGTGCACCGCGGGATTAACGGGTATGGTGTAGAACTTGTTCACATCAGTGGCATGGTCCGTCCGTAGTTCGATGAGGTGGCCAGTAGTAGGTTCAGCAAATATTCCGAGATACCTCGTTGAAGTATCGCGGGTACGCAGAATGCAACACCGGCAGCTACAGATTTGACTTACCCCGGCCATCCCAGCACCCTCCGAGATGCTAGACCCGAACGTTAATCCACGTGCCTGAGGCGTCCCCTTCGCCGACAAGAAAGAGAGCTCCGCTGCAAAGACGACCAGCACGGAGCTCAGAGTCAGTGTCCGCCTACTTGTTTGGGATATTCGAAGCCACCTGAAGTGGCTCAAGTGGCTGAAGGAATTGTTTCGATGATGTTCACAACACTTATTGGAGTAGTTGCTATAAGTTTCACTGTCACCGTGCCTTCGACATTGCTTACTTCGCATCTTGCTCGGTTGATGCAGAATCTGCTGACTGCCGCTTTGCCGGGGTAGGATTTCGACAGGATTACGGACAATACGGATTTCAGGGTGTGTCCTGCACCCTATGAGCCTTCACGAAACGTCGCAGGTCCCGGAGTGTTTGAAGTTTGGCATCGGGCCCTCTACGGTGTAGGCGGATTCAGGATTCCAGCGCAGTGTGGGCTCTAAGATATGGTTTTGTGAATCGTCATATATACACCTGATGAGGTTGGAAACTCGCTGGCTTTACTAGTGTTTTTTAACCCGGTCAGGGCTCTCCGTCAGGATCCTTGTGTTGATTTCGGTGTATAATTGTGTGTCAGGGTCCATCATTATCTGAAACTCCTGCGCCCTGGCACAGGTGCAGGTCAAGCGGATGCCTCGCAAGCCTGCGCCGACAGAAGAGTCCCTTACCTGCAGTTCTGCACCCCAAGCCTTCTGAGCGCCATTAAGTGCCCCAGCACCTACTGGAGTTTAGGGCTTAATTAGGACTTAGGGGGTTTAGCCGGTTTAAAGCCCCAAGACTGGAGCCTCTTGAGTATATTGTTTTGGGGGGGTCCTCTTTATACGTGTAGTATAATGGGCCCCAAAACCATAGTCTAATTATTAGGGCCCTTCTACTGTGTGAGTGTGTGCCGCTTCGCACGCCTTGCACGGCCCTGCAGACCCCCGTTGCCACGAACGTCGCAGACCGGTATCTCTAAAGCCTCTTCAACTCGTAATGGAAAACCTCTATAAACCCCGGACCTCAAAAAGCCGCTCTTAAACCACTGCGTAATGTGGATACATTCAACGGAGCTCTAATGCGGAATACACCAATGTCCAATGTGAGGATGCACGAGGCGTTGGAAAAGGATGCTGCTGCTGCACTCAAGGCTGGGGCAGGGTAGAACCCTGCAAGCGATTTTGCAGCCAAGGGGCGTGTAAGCTGGCCGGCGTAGATCGCCAGTGAGTAGACCAGGCTTCTTCAAGGATCGCCACGTCTGATAACGGCTCTTCGGACGATAGTGTCCGTGAATTAAGAAGGAATCAAAATCATAGTATGTGAGCATTACATCTGCCCTGCTTTCCCAAGCTTGTACAAACATATGCAATCACACATGCGAAGTTTTGGGGAGACATCCACTGCCCTACGATAGCAAAAAATGCAGTCAACGTGCTGTTACAATACAAAGCCTTTGTATATGTCAAAAGAACAAGTAACAGCAGCCACCATGATCATGGCGCCATACAGACATCTTGACGGCTGTCAACACCCCGGATCTATTCCGTGGTTTCGGGTGATGCGGAAGACAGGTTTTCAGGAGTCAGGGTTGGATCTTGCGAAGCCAGACTCCAAAGAAAGCCGTCGGCTCTTTTGGGAGTTCCAGGTTAGACCGGGGCATCACCTTACTAAGCAAGTCCCAAATTCAATCGCTGGAGAGAAGGCTGTCGAGGACGCCGGCGAGTTGGTCGAGCAGTACAAGAGACTCTGCAGTTTTGGGGGCCTCTTGGGTTGACACGGATCACGGAACACGAAACAGGTCGCCGAATCGTGGCTTTGGCAGCTGTCCTTCTTTGCTTTGGGTTGCTGTCCGTCTTGGAGATCCTTCTTGAGGCGTGCTGCTGAACTGTTCAATGATTTCCTGTCAGGGGGTTTGGGCCAGGCACGGCCAGTGTGGCAAGTCTTGTCTGTCTGCGGGTGTCAGACCTTGCGCTTTGGTGTGAGCCTCAGGGTTTGCCTGTCCATTAACTTGATAGTTGAGGCTGTACCACTTGCGGCTCATGGTTCAGAGTTGGCCTCTGTGCTCAGGCTTTAGACCCTGCAACTCTTTCCAAGCACTACGTCCCTTCTCGAACCCAAAGTTTGTCACATAGAGCTGTACCTTTACCCTGAACCTTACCCTAAACTCCTATAAGCCCCAACATTTAGGTCTGACACCACAGACTCAGACAGAGAGCCAAGTCGCAAGAGATCTAAGGAAGGAGCTGAACTCCGCCCGTTTGGCAGCCGAGGGCAACCAACAGGAGAGCGCAACACTCTCCCCTGAGGGTCCTTTTAAGATGTCTATCCCCTTATAGCCCCTTTATGCTTTCGCTTTGATATACCCCCTCATACCCTGTTATGGTAATGATGGCCCCTATATCAGGACTTTGGTTTTGAGGGGTTTTGTTTGGCCTCTAGGTCGAAGAGGTTCTGGCAGTGCGAAGAGACTTCAGGTCACCCAGCACTGCGTCGTAGTATCGGTCTTTGGCATAGTTTGGTATTGAAGAATTTAGGTTCGACCTGGGTGAGCCATGGCTGTTTCATATGATCCCAAACCCCAAAACCACTTAGCCACGAAGCCTGAACTCTAGACCTGCAGACGCCTGTCAGCAGAATTTCGACGCAGGACCTCCTGGTGAGAGTCGCGCAACAGGCTTACGACCTCGCCATGAAGGCCATGCCGGGTAGCGTTCCCGTAGCCTTCTCCGTGAGGTCTCCAACAGAGGAAATTGAAAGCGCAGATGAACACATACAAAGATGCAGCAAAAGAAAGACAAGGTTGACTGCAGGGTTCATAGCCCGACTTAGAACCGAGCCACGCAGCCTGCAGCCTAACCTCAGCCTGAAACCTACGCAACCTAGTCAACGAACCCGACACCCCGAACCCTAGACTCCTAGGCCTTGAAAAGACAACTTCCCAAACAACTCTTGATTAATCCCTCAGCCCGTCCCTGCCGTCCCCTGGCAGGACAAGCAGAGGGCTGCAAACAGCCTCCAGCAGACGATGGAGATGCTGAAGCAAGCGAAGCTGCAAGCGAAGCAGGCGCTCGAAGCCGAGGACGAAGCGGATCCACCCACGGTTCCGGTGAAGGACACCAAGCTCGCACGAGCTTAGGGTTGAGGGTTTAGGGTTTACCTGTAGCCGAGAAGACCTACCTTTTTGTAGGGTTCGTTACTATGGCTTCTATTTACAGCTCCTGAAAAAAGGTAGGTCGTTTCGGCTACAGGTGGGGTTTCTTCAGCTTGTCGTGGAGGGTGAGGCCTTCTGTTTGAGAGCAGTGGGAGCCTGGGTCTGCACAGCTTACTTGCAGGTTCCGGGGTAGTTATAAGTGGGGCTATAAGTCCCCTAATATGGGTCATAGAAGTATAGTTACCCTACTTATAACCCTACTTATAAGTACCCATGAACCTCCAAGTAGAGGTGGGCTGAAGGAGCGGGGAGCATTCATTCAAGGCTTGCCAAGCAGGTTTGTTGCGAGCTCCCGCTCGCCGATGCATTCGATCAGATCTCCATGTCTTTTAAACGATGATGCAGAGCAGACGGCCTTCCGCTACAGTGGAGACCTTTGCTGGGCGTTCTGGTTCGAAGGCAGCCCGGGCTTCTGCAAGATTGAACTTTTCAGAGCAGCGCCAGGAGGAGATTCCGGACCACATTCGCAGCAGGCCTGCCCGTGTCGGAAAGACTGGGCACTTGAGATTCGGATTGCCAGCACATCAGTTCAGGAGCATGGCAGCCTGCTGATATTCCCAATTTGGAACTCGGTCGCTTGGGGCTTAGGGGGGCTAGTGCTAGCATCATTAGGCGTCATCCCGACATCTTACCACCTCAAAACTCCAACATCTCGAAACCCTACGCCCGGAGCCATCGCTCAGAAAGGTGCAGTTGCTTCGCACCAGTTTGAGCATTAGCCTTTCCATGTCATAATATGTAGTAAACCACAAAAAAAGGTAAGCTCTAATCACAATACAAAACTACCAGTAACATTGATAATACAGTACTATAACTTCGGGAGCACCAGGTCTGTAGCAATATACGATAGTCAACTATAATATACTATAAGTATAACGTACATTAACCGATTGTAATATACATGAATATGCTACAATATATGTACTATAAAATAGTCGATTAACTACTATAGTTACAGCTTCCATCTACAAGGTTAAAGCATTTCCCGCAGTTAAAAGCTACAGCAGGCTAGAGCACGAACTTGAAAAGCGGGCTGGGTTCGTTGGTTCTAGCCCTGCTACTACAAGGTGATAATCGCACGTCTTAACATCCACAAACCCATGTAAAGTTGGGTGCTGTGCAGTGACATGATGCGCTAGGTCCGTGGACGATCTCGGGCTGCTGTATTTTGCAGATAGCACTCAAGCCCCTTTCTTCGCCGTGCCCGAAACCCCATAGCCAAAACCTTAAAGCCAAAAGCAAAACCGTAGACTTTCAAGCCCAAGCCAATCCCTATGCCCTGATCCCCTTGAACCTTGAGATCTCGAAGCTGAGCCCGAAACAGGCTCGAGCCCCAGCTGTCCAGAAGGCGCCAGTGGGTGTTCACCGGAACTGGGGTTCTGCTTTCGAACCTGTGGTTTGTTGTTTGGGATATGGCATGGGGTTCTATGATGTCGAGGTTAGATTGCGGCCTTTGCAAGCAAAGGATAAGGCTGCATGCGACAACTTGTGTCCAGGGTCTCAAGTTTTCAGGCTTGGTGCGGCTTTCGGATTGAAGGGGCTTGTTTTTGGGGATGCTGTGTTGCTTGTGTGTCGTGCATACTAAGTCCACTCAGGGGTCTAGGTGTCGGGACGGTTACAATTGGGTCAGGAGCAGCACTCCTTCAGACATTTTGATTTCCAGCTGCCCTCGGCTGCGCAGTTGTTGAAGCACAAGCGAATGATATGAAAGGGCTTCAGCAGAAAATGTTGCATGCTATAACAATCTGAATGATAATGGTGATACTAATCATGTTTATAACAATCATAATAGTCATCGTAATTAGTTACATGGTAAGTTATACAATGCTTTACCGGTTCGGGTCTTCCCACTTCAATCGTGGGGCCTTGCACAATAATGCGCTGATTTGCGGCACACCTAGATCTTCACTCCGACCCACAAGCAATGATCAAGTAGCAAGGAGCGATACCGTAAACGTGATCGCCAAAGATAGCCCATCAGTGTCGTGTAGGCTACCCACGCAGCAGGTTTCCCTAAGGAAAAAAGCTGTTTCTACTGGGACACTCGACGGCGCCTTGCTAACAGTCCAGATTGTTAGTGGACACACGTCTGCCTCGAGACGCAACAGCTCGTAAACCGCTCGTTGCTCAGCTTTTGTCGTTTGCGAAATATTTGGGGCTGACTGTTGACTTGTGCCTTCGGAAACTTAATCAAGCTCCGTGTAAGTTCAATCTCCGGCTCAAGGGGTATGCCGTGAATGCCCAGAATTTTAAAGCCCGCCACCTCAAGTTACTGGGCAGCTGTCATCGATCTGCCCGGGCGGGGAGTCAGACCTAATTTAGGTAACGCTGGGGTTTTAGAGTTTGGCTTGATGTTTCGGGTTTCAGCGGTAAAGCATGTAGTCCATCAGCACCAGCAGCTCCTTCCTAAGCTGAGTCGTCTTCTCGAGGCGGCTACTGCTACATGAGATATGGGAGTTTCCGAAAATACTGGGGATAACATATTTCGGGGTCCTTACAAGAAGGATCCTACTATTAGGGGACTATATTAGGGTCCCCTATTTTCGGAAGCTCCCATATAGCCTAGTAAAGGTATGCGAAATCATCATACGATATGATATGGCATAGTATAATGTGACCCGCACGGCACTGGTACTGTGGCATTCGACACTTATCACTACTCTACTGCACAGGCTTCCAGCAAGACTCTTCGCAAGTGTGGGTTCTTATTAGTCTTTATGAGTGTATGTCTGTATTTTCTGTGATAGCAATGCGAGGCAGCGATGAGAATCGTGCTAAACACACTCTCTTCATCTATTTGTTCTGGTTCATAATCACAGTGGAGTAGAGCAGTGTTGGCAGTGTTGGTACACATCAGAGAGTGACAGCAACTTTCACTTCTGAGTCATCATGAAGAAGCTTCGCTGAAGAAGCATTCACAGTGCATTGCAGGGTCATCCTCAAGGCGAGAAAGCGGAAGCTTGTCTTGCAGTGGTGGCTTCGGAACTGAGGGAGTGAGGATTTGAAGTTTGGGGGTTTAAGGGGTTCAAGGAAAGTGCAGCAACAAGGATTGAGGCCTGGGGGATGCTGTTGTTGCCAGCTCAGAAGTTGTTCTTCGGAGCTTGCTGTGTGTGTGTGTTCGGGTCTTACGTACATGATTCTCGTACGTGGCAATTCTCTTGAGGCAGAATTCTTGTGAACTTCACCTTGGCGTAATGCTGAGGGTGGCCTGAGTTTTCCAACATCTGGCTGTACTCTACACCGCGCAGGCTAGACGGGATCCGCACTGGTCGAATCTTCAAACCCAGCAAATTCCAGACGTCCGGGGTCATCCTACGGTTGATGGATATACTCATCCTGCATTATCTTAAGGACCCTAAACTATACAAATTATGGCATGTTCCATGTTATGGGTAGTGCTAGACTTATGTCATCAACCGTAGCCCTCAGCCCTGAAAAGCCGTGTGCCTTGCGTCTGCGAGGGCGCAGAAGTCTCGGAGCCCTAAACCAGGCCCTGAACCCCAAAGCAACAACGCCAGGGCTTCGAGTTTAGGGTTTAGGGTTTAAGGTAAAAGCCAAAAAGTTGGAATATGATTATCCTAACCCTTCTATGGTAAATTATAGGGTATCCTACCATGAAACCATATTCCAACTTTCTGGCTTTTACTGTAGGGGGGGTATCGGGGCCTGTGGGGAAAGACATGTGGTCGCCTCTTCTCGATAGGGTGCTGGGCTCGTACAAATGAGACGTGATTTGTTGATGGTGTCTTGCAGACGAACATCCCGCTACGCTTAGGGACCCCGGTTGGGGCAAATACACTGAAACCGGTCACCGGGTGATCTTTCCAGGAGTCCTTCGGCAAAGCCTCTCCGTGAAAAAACGGATCTTCAATCCCGAATCTGCGAACCTGCAGCCCTGAAGCCCTAGAAACCAAAGTCCTGCTTTGGAGGGTCGCCGGGTATCGCAAAGGGACTTTCAAACCTTCCAACTCCGATTGCCCTACTTCTGAACCCCAAAGTGTCAAGAGCTTTCGAAGTCCTCTGGTCCTTCCAGCAAAGACTGGACTTCCCCAGTGCTATTCCGAAATCCCGAGACGCGATCGTCCTATACAACCCTAAGCCCTGTTTCAGTCCTGCTCAGTCTTCGGATGTACAGCGACGACGAGTTCTCGGTCGATGCATTTGCCAAGCGTCGCAGGAGGACCGGGTAGGGCAAGACCCCGAGGGGGGACTTGTTCAGGGCCTTGGGGCTTAAAAAAGGGGAGGGTTTCCCGCGTTTCGGCTTCCAGGGGGTCGCTGCGCATGTTTACGTTGTTTGCTGCTTCCCTACTAGGACCCCGAAGTCGGCCCGATGCAGAAAATCAGCTAGCGAGCTTTGGAGTTTGGAAAGATTGAGGAGCTGAAGGGTTACGGTTTCGTGCGATGAGCCTTTCGATGAAGTCGAGGGAGTGCTGTGAAGCCGATGCAATTTAGGCCTTGCGGTTGAGGGACAGACTGCGATGAATCCTGAGCTGGTGAAATGTGTGGATGATTAAATCCCGAGGTCCCGAACCTGTACAAACTCTCAGTTTCTGCAGCCTGCAAGCGGAATACGAAGATGCTGCTCTATAGTACTGCTGGTCCCAGAGCGCACTAACTCCGAAATTTCTTGTGGTGTTCGATTTTTCTAGCCTCCTCTTGCCGCCCTCGATCAGGGCTTCACCGGAGAGGTGCTGTGCTCGCCAAATATATCTGCTGAGGGAGGCACAGAGGAGCGCCAATGCGCCTTTGCCCGTCCAGGGTTCAGGGCCTCTTGCTCAGGGTCGGGACCGGGGCCTCTGTAGGGTTTTGCGTTCCTTCTCAGTTTCTGCACATGTCCTAGAAGCCGCGCAGGAAATGCGCCTACTCTCATACCACGCATGGCTCGACTGCAGCACCGTGTATCATGCCGAACTCCAGAAAGAAGGTGTATAGTGCTTAATAGAGCGGCTTCCTAAGCATGCATGCATGTATGTAGGCCGGCATTATGTAAGTCTACATACGGTGTGTGTAGAACGGTGCGGCAGATCATTCAACGCATCAGGCGTCATTTCAGTTAGACAATCGGGTGTTCTGCCAATACGAATGCCAATACTAATAGCAGTACTAAAGGTAACACGAATACGAGACATGTTTTTTTAACACGAATGCTAAATATTAACACGAGTACCAGATCAGAATACGAAGGCCAGTACGAATGCGAATACGAACATTATACTGAGGTTATTTGTACTGTTACTAATTAGTAGTCATGTTCATGCAATGGCAAGAGCAAATGCGAGATAGGAACACGAATCTTGAATACTAGTACTGTTACCACTACTCATATGACTACTAATACGTACGCTATGATGAGTCCCAATACTATTACACTGGGTCAAGCAGTATCATTACACTGTAAAAGAATACGATATAATGCCGCAGCACATAACATCACATAGCACAACATATCATCGCGTGTCAAAACCTAAGGTATAAAATGCATAGAAAGCTTGGAGTTGGTATGATGTGACAGAACCCGTCAGAGTCTAATAAGACCTACTGTCATAGTAACATAGTAACACATGTTCGTAACATCTCAGAATATCATACCCCCTCGCGAAATATCGCATAGTGTGGCATATCGTATGATAGTGGCACATTCGCACAGTGAAACCTGCTGGAGTTCAATGCGCTTACCACACCATAGCAGAATGAAGTAACACGAGATCTACAGTAGAACGGAAAGGGTACAACAAAGTATAATACAACATGCCATAGTACAAGATAACACAAGATGACACAACCCAGTTGTATAATGGGTAGAAAGGTTCAGTATGATACATAATCGAACATGACAGAATAGGATAGACGAGAATCTTAATATAGTAGTTATGATGCGGCAAAATACAACATCGCATAGCATAATGCAATATGCTGTAGTCTAGTATAATGAGTGCAAACAAAAAACATATGTTGATATTGAAACGTACAAATACTTTCCTGCACTCTACCATGCTACTCTATAGTGTACTGCAGCTTGGTGGCATAAAATACATACATAGATATAATGCTTCATAGCGTAGTATGATATACCACGGCTGAGTATGGTACAAACATGGCAAATTGCATTACTGTACAATGAAACAGTACAAAGCGTATTATGACACAGTGTAACAAGGTAAACATCTTGCAGCACGAGACTTGACAACATTATGCAAAGGCGCAATATGTGTAGTACAACGAAATGCACTACAGTAATCTATCATATGATGCTACATAGAAAAAGTATGATACAGCATAATACGGTAATACGGTAGAGTACAGCATACTACAACAAAAAATGCAGGATATTTCAAGACAGTTCAGTACGAGGCAACATGATTCAGTACATCAACTTATAACAGAACACAATACAGCACTGTATACCACAACACCGTATACTACAGCATGTTACAAACACGATACAGCGCTTTTCGATGCAATACCATATCAGGCCATGGTTCTCAGATGCAGGGGAGACATGTTGGAAGCATTTCCATCTACTGCTCGTCTAGCTTAGCAGATTTGAGTTGTGACTTGCTGGGGAAGGGAGGTTTTTTAGGTTTACGAGATTGTGTAGTTTCGAGCTTGGAGGCTTAAGGATTAGGGAACCTCCGCTGTGGAGGCCCGAGCCGGTCCTTGGTGATGCAAGTGTTTGCCCAGGATTGGGATCCGTCGTACCACAATGCGGACAAGGTCCACAAGAAGTGGGGGCACTTGCTGCGGCTGGAGTCGCCGGACAGGCTCATCTTTACCCACCATCAGGTCTCCCAGACTTTCAGGACTCCCGGATTTGCACAATGCTTGTGAAGCACAGGGTGAAGGCAGCACTTCAAGAAGCGATGCGAAATGGGACGCTCCGTGCCAATGCAGTCAGAGATACATTCATGCAGACTGACAGAGTTGGTGTCCGCCCATCTCTCCTTCTCCACATATATTCCCAAGCAGTGTGGTAACACGCAAATGGTTTTCATTCAGAAAAATGCACTGTGCACGCGGCGGGGGTGCACCTCGAAGTTGCGCCACTCCCGCTGCGGGGCGGCACACTTTGGGCTCACGTCCCAAGACCATGTATGTATATATATATATATATATATATAATTATATAGGCATATATATATATATACATATATATATATATATATATATGTGTGTTGGGAGTTCCTTATGACAACCATAGTATACGAAAACCCCACTCCCAGTTTCTAGTGCTTAAGGCTCCTATTCACAGAGTGCCCAGTCCCGGCGATGCCGCGGGGCACTGTTTGCCTTCCTTTCGTATCCACAGAAGGCCGGGAGTTTGGAGGTGGCGCCCCCAAAATGTGGAAGCACCTGAAGTCCGACCCGGGCCACACTCCAAGGCTCGACTGGGTCTTTAGTGTGGGCTCCGAACGATTTTGAGGGCTCCCTTCCGTCCGCTTCATGGTCGACTGGTGGTGGTGGAGGCGTGGTCATGGTCGCAGTGGTGATCGTGGCCGTCGTGGTCGTCGAAACCCTGAAAACCTTCAAAATAACTTCATCTCTAAATGCAAGCTGCAAGTCATGCTAAAGGCCTTAAGAACGGAGCCCTGAAGCCAAAAGCCGCAGGAATGGGCCTCACAAAGGACAGCGCCTGACGTGTTTGCTCTCGGATCTGGAGAGAGGCATCCTAGAAGCCGAGGGGCTCACAGCCCTCGTAGGCCGGGTGGTTTAGGGCTTAGGGGTTTAGGGTTTAGGGGTAGACTCAGGTAGAGGCTTTGAGGGTTGAGATTTATTAAAATTTATAGTGTTTCGGGGTTGAGGGTACAAGGATTCTCCTGCTGGTGTTACGTATCCAGGCTGCGCTTGCGGGTCGTGAGGACTCGGAGTTTAGGGTGCGCAATGTAGGTGCTTAGGGCTTAGGGTTTGAGAGTTTGGGGATCATTGATGATGTTCTTGCCAAGCATGGACACCATGGTTTCTATCGTGCAGTGGGCTTGTCCAGCATAGTCCAATACTACGGTAATCAGTTATGTAGTAACTCGGCCGTTGATGTGTCTGAGAGCTTGAAGTTCTTGATGTTTTTGCGAGGTCGTTAGGAGCTGCACTAGTCCAATCCTACTGAGCCCACCTCCCCTTCTCTTAACATTACGCCCTCCACCCGGATTCCATTCGCCTACATGAATGAACCACACCGGCCGAAGGCGTTCAGCAAGACGGCAAGCTGCACGTGATGTGCGGAAATCGTCGCCTGACGGTGCCGCCCGGTGTTCGCCATAAGTTCTGTATGTGGGGGGCTTAGGAGTTAGGGTGAAACAGCTGGTGGGCTTGGACGAAAGGCTGTCTGAGAGATCTGTTCAATCCGGCGCTTTCAGAACATGGGGTCCGTCTTGCATGGTTTGCCTTCTGCTGAGGGCTTATTTGTGGCCATGTTTCGTACAGGCACTGATGTGGTTGGTGACTGCGCAAGTGCTGTTCTGAGGTTTTTAGGGTTAAAGAAACCGTAACAGACATGTTTAACATTCTTCAGTCTATTTGTGTTAGAAGCTACACCCGAAGCGAGTGGAATCTGGCGTTTGCGGGCAGCTGAGGCTGAAGCAGTACATGAGGAAGCTGAGGGAGGCGGGAGTGGTCGTTGCCTTCTTTGGTTTTATAATGGGTCGACATTAGTTTGTCGTGTTTGTGCTCTCTTTGCTCGGCGAGGCCGTGCCTGCAAAGGCTGAATCAAGAACTTAGGGTGTCCTTTATTCGGCTGCACATGTCGAAAGATTCTTGGGTCATCCATCTCATCGCATGGAGGTGGGCGACGAGACCAGAGCCGATAGCCTGATTCTCGGATTGGTTGGTTACATGATGCACGGCATATGATAGAAGGTTGCTCCCTGGTACCCTGATGTCAAGCTGTTGTTGCGGCAATGTTCTGCGCAGCATCATGTCAGACCAGCTGGTGTACAATGGTGCACAACTTGGCAGAAGCTAATGAAGCCTCGTACCATCGGGTCGAAGTCAAACTGTCTTGTACAAGAGTCCAAAAGCCTGTCTGTCGGCTGTTCTGCTGTGCTTAGAAACATTCTAGAGGTTCAAGATGCTATAAGACTGCATACTGCCCAACATGGTCTCGCCTCCTCTTTGCCATGGCTTTGCAATAAGATAAACCGAAGCCTGCATCGATAACTATCCTTTAATGACATTCCTTTCAAAGCAGTATGCAGCACCGTCGTCCGAGAGCACGGTGCTGACCGGACTTCCACACAACACAGCAGGCATCCCTAGGCCTCTTGAAGACCAGAGTCAAGAGAAGACGCAAAGCCTGGCGTGCGGAGCCTCCGATGCATACATAACTACAGTTTGTGAAACATCTCATCCGCTCCTCCCCCGCCCCAAACCAAAGTAACCCGCTGACAAAAGCAGCAGTCTTGGCTTCAAGGAGGGTGCCTGTGTACGTGCACAAGTTTGAGGACATGCCGAAAGGCATCCAAGCGAAGTTCGTGACCTGCCCTGTTTCAGCATGCAAACAATGAAACCTGGAGCCTCCGCCAGGGGCCTGCTTTGGTGTGCCTGTTGATTTGTGTTGTACTCCAACAGCAGATTTTGTTTAGCGTTTAGCGCATGAACCTCAAGCAATTCTAGCATTCTAGCAAGGTCTTCGTATCTTGATCCGGCAGACAAATTCTCACACAGTGCTATACCCAAAACCATGCTGAACGCCATGGTTGAAGGAGTCGTGGATGAACTCTAAATGATATGTCACCCGGTTTTGGACACGGGATGGCAAGTTTGGAAGACCCTCTGACCCGAATTCATTCAACCTCATGCCCTGAATCAGTTTCTTGGAGTTAGACAGGGTTCATGCGGGTACATGATCTTGCCGCACCCCCTCCCGACAGGTGGTCTCTGTAGGCCGTTGAGGATCCGACATGATCCGCGCACTAGAGCAGTTTGCCGAGCGCATCTTTGATTTAGGAATTACAACTGTTCGGAAGATACACCCTCAACCCTATAACCCTGAATCCTAAAACCTAAACTTGACCTATCGAGCCATTGCACCTTAAAAGAAAAAACTTGACCTATCATGCAGCCCCAAGCCGAGATAGAAGCCTCCTCAACGGTGGACGGCGCCCAGCCTGGCTTCTTCCCTCCGCGTGGCTCAGACTTTTACGTCGCCTTTGAGGTGTTCGTTAGGGCTTTATATGGGCGTTTCCGAAAATTAGGGGTACGTTATTTGGGGGTCCTAATAATAAGGATCCTACTATTTAGGGTACTATAGTAGGGTCCCTATTTCCGGAACCCCCATATGATTTCAGTTAGAGATGAGGGTACATGTGGGGCTGAATTTGTATTTGGGCCTTAAGTTTGTTCGGGGTGTGTGTGTGTGTGTGTGTGTGTGTGTGTGTGTGTGTGTGTGTGTGTGTGTGTGTGTGTGTGTGTGTGTGTGTGTGTGTGTGTGTGTGTGTGTGTGTGTGTGTGTGTGTGTGTGTGTGTGTGTGTGTGTGTGTGTGTGTGTGTGTGTGTGTGTGTGTGTGTGTGTGTGTGTGTGTGTGTGTGTGTGTGTGTGTGTGTGTGTGTGTGTGTGTGTGTGTGTGTGTGTGTGTGTGTGTGTGTGTGTGTGTGTGTGTGTGTGTGTGTGTGTGTGTGTGTGTGTGTGTGTGTGTGTGTGTGTGTGTGTGTGTGTGTGTGTGTGTGTGTGTGTGTGTGTGTGTGTGTGTGTGTGTGTGTGTGTGTGTGTGTGTGTGTGTGTGTGTGTGTGTGTGTGTGTGTGTGTGTGTGTGTGTGTGTGTGTGTGTGTGTGTGTGTGTGTGTGTGTGTGTGTGTGTGTGTGTGTGTGTGTGTGTGTGTGTGTGTGTGTGTGTGTGTGTGTGTGTGTGTGTGTGTGTGTGTGTGTGTGTAGGATTGAGGGTTCGTTTAGGGTTCGGGGCTTGCTTCGCCCTTGGATTTAACCGATGCTTCTGTGAGGTTCGTAAGAAGTGTGGAGCCACACATGGCTTGTCTTGCAAAGAAGTCGAAGCCATGAGACTAAAGGTTTCAGTTCCTGTTTAGATGCTCTACTATTATTATGCCTCTATGACTACTATTGTTGCTATCGCTGTTGCTCCTATTCAGCTTCAGCAGCTCGCAAGCACTGTGACTGGCATTTGGTAGGTTCAGGGTTAGGGTTTAGAGTTCAGAGTTAGTACTTTAGGAATGAACGATGGGCAGAACAACCAAATGCTAGAGACCAGGAAGGGCCCCCCCCCCCACACAGCCCTTACATGCCCCTTACATAGCCCTTAGATGAGCCTTTCATGTCACTTTTCAGGCCTTACATGCCCCTTACCGCCCTGACGTAGGCTTTGCAAGGCACTTACATAGCTGTTGTTCTCGGGGCAGTTGCCTTTTCGATGAACCCCACTGTTGCTGGTATGTGCTGGCACAGGACGACGCAAGATCTGATCAGCTGTAGCCTGCAGCCACAATTATCTAAGCTGCACAAGGAAAGCCTCTTGCATAGGACGGTCGAAACCCGAACTTTGGAAGCAGTATGTAGGCAGGATGTGTGGCCGACATGTATCAGCACCATCCACTACCCGCCGAATGACTACCCACGAGCAAATTTCCTAGACTTGTCCCCCGACGCAGGCCTGAACCCTGCAGCCCAAACCAACTTCGGCCCAAGTTGTTCCGCACAAAACGGGGGATAATCACATGCAATGGCACAGTACCACTCGCCTCCAGACCACCACGGGAGGGCGGGGCCGGGGCGGGGGCCACTTGCGAGGCGGTGCGGTGCCACACATACATAAACATATACGTACACATATACATGTACATACACATACACATACATGCATATATATATATATATCGCATATACAGATGCACATAAATATATACAGATATACGTAATTACATGTATGTACAAATATATGTACACATGTATGCATGTGTGTATAATATATATATATATATATATATATATATATATATATATGTATGCACGTATGTGCAGACTGGACGACTTGCAGAGATTCAAGCTGATCCCAGCATGAACACCTTGATAGCTCTGCTGTCAGATCAAGAAGCCCGAGGACCTTACGCTAGTTTGGATCGGGATTGCGTTTGTGTAACCGAGGCGATTCTCCGCGGGTGGTCCTTCCGCCGCATCCACGAGGCGGGCTGGCCGCTTTTCAGTTATGCGCGTGACGAGGATTGCGATGGCGGTGAAGATGATGATGATGATGATGACGATGAGGATACTGCTGATGCTGATGCGGTGACTGCGACGAGCATCTTCAACGCAAGCACTTAAGCTTCCGCAGTGCTCCGCAGTACCACTTACAAGTTGCACATGCTTCTTTCTTAGAAGCGATCCCAGAGCGCCTGGGGTCTTGAGCCTATGCCTATAGGCATTCTACTAGAAGGAAGTGTAAGATTGCATCCCAGAGTTTGCTGAAGCTAGCACCGAAGCCCTGAAAGGCGATCATGTTGGAAATGCCCCTTGGAGGTGCGGCGGAAAAGGCCCCTCGGCGCGGCAGACAGATTGACATGATGATGGGTAATGATGATGATAATGATGACGAAGAAGTGTTCACGATGACTGCGAACGCGCTCAGTCTTTGCAGCTTCGGCAGAGGCAGGCCCAGGCTGTATAGAAGAGGACCCAGGTGTCACATGGAAGCCATGAGTCCCAAGCTGTAGGAAGCGTAGCAAAGTGCCTGAAATCTGCGACCAGGATGCCTTCAGAGGCTAAGTCCCGAAACCCCAGCTGAGGCGACCGGCTTGGCAAGGGTGACCCACGCGAGCGAGTGGGAAAAGGCCGCTCGGCCCAGCAGACCGCGCAAAGAATCGTGTGATCCACACCCACCGGCGGCTACGTGACGTAGAATCTGAGCCGATACTAGGTTTCAAAATGCAGACAGCGATTAGGAGTAAGCTACCAGTTGCCCTTGCCAGGTTGTGGTGTGTTTTGAACTCGCTACTGATACTAGCTTAACACCTTAACACAGCGGGTGAAAGATGCGTACCATGCCCTCCATGCTTACACACGAGGTACGTACTGTTTGCGGCTCCGAGTTCTTCATTTCAGTAGTAAAGCATACGTTTTGTTTTTCCGACAGTTTTGTTGGCACCAGATGTGCTTGTACGGAAACAGCTTTTTGCGAGCATGTCAGCCCTTGCTCCAGGCAGTACAGCCATGAAGGCTTGCGTGCTTACAGACATATAGGTGACAAAGGAATGTAGGTGGCAAAGGAGTGGAAAAACATATACATATACACCCTAGACCTCCCGGACCAAGATGCCCCAGGGTCCCAGAGCCAATGAGATCTTGTAATCGTGGCTCGGTCTGAGGCACTTCAAAGTCTTCAGGGCCCAGGGTTTCAGAATCTGATCTTCTCCTGAGGCTCATCTGCCTATATGGCCGGATCACCATCACCACCGGCACGTGGGAGTCTAGGTGGCCAAGCGTGTTTGGAGAACGGTTTCACATGAAGAATGCTACCGAAAGAGCGCCAAAACCCCAAAATTTGCACTCATGGAACTCTGAAGCAAGCTGCTCTTCGTATCATTCGGTCTGCGAGTAGATAAAAGCCTGACGCCTGGCAAACTCACGGGAGCAGGTCTGTAGTAACGTTTGTGTTAGGATGTGTTAGGCTTTCTCTCAGAGCACAGGCTCTGGTATACCTGAGCCTGCACTCCTCGCCCCGCGAATGGTCTTGCCGTTTTACCTGCTACTTGCCCGGAAGCCTGGACCCCAGACCAAACCCTAAACCCCAGGCCCTAAACCCAGATCTTGAAGCCCCAAACCCCTTTGCAAAGACATGCGAAGATGAAGCGAATTCCCCAGAAAACTCCATGGAAATTCGCCTCCTGAGCCTCTCCGCGCTCGAGGCGCCCACTTCGCCGCCCAAGCCACGCCGGCGGCGCAAGGAGACACCAGTCGCTTCGCCAGCACTGAAGGGTTTAGGGTGTAGGGGTTTAGGATTTAGGGATTGAAGCTTTGCGCAAGGCACAACAGTCGTTGCCACTTCGCTTGAGCGCACAACCTCGATGAGAGTTTTTTCGGCTTCGGAGCGCGCATGAGGGCTTCGGAGGCTGGGGCCTTGTGTTGGCCGCGCGCGAGTATTTCTTCTCCCGCCCGCGCCCGTTAAGGGCGGCTCCCACCCTTAACCAGCTCCGCTTTTTAGGGTTTAGTTTCCTGAACTCCTTTTTTGTTTCGCAGGGCAGAGAACAGAGTCATGCAGCAATGCTGGCGGTCGTGGGAGACGCGAGTTCTGCAGCAATGCCCGCAGTCGCATCCGAGAGCCCTCGACACTTCACACGTGGCGGGGTTTCGTTCGGAAGGATATACTTGTGCAGCTCGCAGAAAACGAAATGTGTAAGGTGACACACTGGCTTGTTTAGTGCCGAGGCTCGTCGGTCCTGGGCCTGCAGTGTGACGACTCGCAGTCGCCTTCGCCTTGCGACGGTCTTCGGTTGCAGGCAGCGAACGTCATGACTTGCATTTCGACTCTGCCGGTTCGGGATCGTCAGTGTCGCGGCTTGCGCGTCGCCTTCGCTGGCAGCCCAGCCATTCAGAGTACATGAAAATCTTGGTAAGACCATATCTAGTTTGTATTGAAGTCGTATTACATCTACGTTAAACCTTTATGCAGGCTTTTATTTGTGGTGGTCCGTGTTAAGTTGTTAAGTTTGTTGTTAAGTTCTTCTTAAAATCGTATTAAGATTTCTTAAGGCCATATGGAGCCCTTGTCAACGTGAAGGCCCTGTTGAGGCATGAATAAAGCCTCATTAAGGCCGTATTAAGCCTTTACTGACACCTTACTACAGCCACATGAAGCTTTCAAAAGGTTTATGAAGGCCATACTAAGCTCTTATTCCAACTTTTTAAGTCCTTCCTAAAGTCGTATGAAGGCCTTATTGAAGCCAGATTAAAGCCTTATTACAGCCTTTTAAAACCCTGTTACTAAACACGAAAGCTTTAGGATTTAGCACTAAACCGTGTTCCTAAACACGAAAGGTTTAGGATTGAGCGCTACAGCAATGCTTGCGGTCGTGAAAGACGCGAGTTCTGCAGCAATGCCCGCAGTCGTATTGGAGAGCTCTCACGATCCAGAGCCGCCAGAGGCGAGATGCAAGTCACGACACTCGCTGCTTACAACCGCAGACCGTCGCCCGGCGAAAGCGACTGCAAGTCGTCACACTGCAGGCCAAAACAAAAGTAGGCAGCTCTGAATTCGTGTTCTTGCCATGTTCAGCACATGTCAGCAATACGGAAAGGTGTAGCCATAAAAAGCATAATCGTAGAATTGGAAAGGGCTAGCCGAAGAGGAAGCGAGTAATGTGAATTAAAGCTGTTGTTGCTGAGTTGGCTTTAATCTAGCCGTTAAGCTGCTGCCGGCGTGAGTCGCCTGAGACGATAGCACCACAGGTTGTCTCAGGCAAAAGCTGAGTTCGTGAAGTTCCTCCCACTGGCGTTCAAGGGCTAGCATTGTGTCTTGGCCACAGTTCAGCGATTATCCAGAGTCAAGCTTCGGTAGTTTCCGTGGAGTCCAACAGCTGCATTGGCGCAGTCGACTCGCCTCCGTGTCTTAGTAGCTATCAGGAGCGTGCTCTCGCAACAGTTCTATACAACTCTGCGAGGATCAGCCCTATAGTAATTTGCAGTAGCTATCAGGATCGTGCTTTCGCGACAATTCTATGCAACTCTGGGGGGATGGGCCCTGGAGTAATAATTTATGAACGGGCAGCTACACGTTGTCAGTTCGGAGATACTGTGCGAAGAGCTACGGCATCAACTCGTTTACGACCGACACGACTCCGATTCTCGGGTCAATACTGACTCCGATTATCGGGTTACGCTGAAGTCCCATGTGCGAGAGCCGGTATAACCAAAGTAGCTTGCTCAATTTCGGTAGAGCCGTACATCAAGCTTTCGCACTGAACCCTGCATTGACAGTATCTGGACAGTGTCTGCAGCGAGGGTAACGAAGGAAAAGCACGTCGCATCGTCAGTAGGAAGGTTCAAGGTTCCGTCTGCGAGTGCGTGTACATCAATGCAGGTGGCTACCAGCAGCATCAACACTATTTGCGTTCGGGCAAACGGAGGATATATCGAGATCAAATCTTCCCGCAGAGTTTGCGTCGAACCCAACGGCCGCATTTCGTTTGCCTATCGATCTTTTGAGCATGCCGAGAACACCGTTAGACTATTTGCATTGCGATGCCACTGACACCTGTCTTGCATGTACAATCGACGGACACTGGAAATTCCTGGGCTTGATGTGTTGAAATGCTGCTGACACATCTCGAGCGAGTGAGTGCTTGCGGAATCCAGCTCTGTCCATGCTCTTCGCTTGTGTAGCCTCTCGCGAACTCAAGTCGACGCAGCAGTCCGCCTCGCCTCTCCTCCACCAGCTCTCGCCATGCAGCTGCCAGAAACAGGCTGGAGTTCGGGCAGCTTGGGGAGTGCGGGGACAGGTTGGGCTGCCTCTGCCGGCAGTGCTGCCACTCCCTATGTGGGGTTGGGCACTCCAGGGATTCTCACGGTAGTCTGTGGGGTTGGGCACTCCAGGGATTCTCACGGTAGTCTGTGGGCATGGGCACTCCAAGGATTCTCACGGTATTCTCACGGTAGTCTGTGGGGTTGGGTGCTCCAGGAGGTAATCTCAGCGGGCGACGAGTAATAGCTGACTTTAAAATCTAACAACCCCACACCGAGGGTGGGGAAAAAGCTTGCTTTGCTGACCGCACGCTCCGTGATCGCATATTGCTATCAGGGCCTAAAGCTCCTAACCCGTGTCGAAGCCGTGGGCCCAGGTCGAAAAGGTTAATGTAGGAACCTGATTAAGAATCATTAGGGTTCCTTATATGAATCCTACGGGTTTTAGGCCCAGGGTTTCTTAATCAGGTTCCTACATTGGACATTTACGCCCTAAATCCTTCAGCCAAGAACTCGAACTCCTTGAGTTTCCAACCCTTTTTCTGGTCCAACAATCGCACATCTTTCGGCATACAGCTCCAAATCCTGAAGCTCGAAGTCGGTTTCACGTAGGGTTCTCGGATTCGATGCGAGGTTTTCGTGCTTTAGATTGCTTTAGGGTGTTGGTTCAGGCTCATTAATCGAAACAGGTGATCGGACAGGTTTAGTCTTCTGCCGACTGGTAGGTTTGGGATTTGGCGTCAACAGCAGAGCAAGCTCGAGACTCCAAGCGACCCTAATATAGGGGCCCTAATAATTAGAGTAGTGTTTTGGGGCCCCAAATACCATACTTATAAATAAGGAACCCCAAAACAATATAGGTAGTTATTTAGGCCCCTACATTACACTCCCTATCAACTGGTACCTCTCCTGATCCACCGCTTGCAGTCTCACGGCTAGCTACAAGTATTACCGCGATTATCAGTACCGTGCAGCGAGTTGCACTAAAGCTTTAGCCCGACGTACTAAGCCCCCCGAAACTCCATCATCCCAAGTCGAGAGTACAGTTTGTACAGGTTTTTGCATATGAGCGGCGAAGGTATACACACGGACCCAAGAGCATATGTTGATGTATGTACCTATCTAGATCTAATTAACTATATACCGAAGAAACGCACGCATATGTGAACATATATATACATGTATGGTATAAACGTTTTATATGTTTACACATTCATACGTGCACGTGTGTGTATAGATATCCACATATGTATGTATGTTAGTCTGTCTGTATGTATGCATGTATGTATGTATGCACAGACAGATAGGCATAGATAGGCTCAACAGCGCAGGCTCATGCTGTAGAACCCTAGTTCCTCGGACCACTGAGCTCTTCGTACCTAGAGCCCAACTCCAAAAACTTAAGCAGCTTACCGTAAACCATGTCTAGGTTCCGTACAATGTCAGGGTAACTACACTAGACACCTGCTCGCCGTACGAATATGGATCATATAACGTTCTGGGCCCCGGAGTGCACCGGAGCTTTCGTATTTGAGGGGTCTTGGGCTCTCTGGGCACCTGCACCAGGTAAGGAGGAGAAGGAGGAGGACGAGGAGGAGGAGGAGAGCGTTCGCGCAGGCCGGAGAAACCGGGGTTTGGTAACATAGGATGTGGGCGGTGCAGGGTTTTAGAGGAAAGGGGTTAAAGGATTTAGGTTCAGGATCAATATAGATGCTGCAAAATCGAGTCTTTGGATTTTCGACTGGGTTTTCCGATTTGGCAGCAAGGTTTCGTTTGTGTTTTTGATTTGGTCGGAGTTAGCTGTCAACATGATTAAGCACAATCCCGAGTGTGGCCCAACCTGAGCGAGTGAAGCACCGGAACATGATTGTGTTGATTCGGTAACCATGCGGAAGAAGAAGATCATCATCAGACTCGCGGAGCTGTTGCAGGTCCTTGTGTAGCGCAGCAGCAGCCACGGTTTCGCAAACCTGTGCGAGGCCGTTTAACATTTGATGTAGTATGGTGGTCTGGTGAAACCGGTCGACAACAACATGGCTGCACCCCTTTCATATCTCGCAGACTCGCTTTGAAGTCAATGCCGTTTGTTCTTAACCAGCTGAACGATGTTTTCCTGCATATAAACTGGTTTGGATTCTTGCTGTGGCACAGCAAGTCGGTAGATTCAGTGGTTTGGAAACCTTATGACTAGTAAACACGGAGCAGGAAATCCTGGACTATGCTTTTTTGATGTTGAAGTTCGGCCGTTTACCGCTCCTGAACACCCCAAAGCCCTGAAGCCCTGCACCCTCAACCCCAATATGAAGGTCAGAACCTTTAGTAATCATGCCCCCTTTTAGCGATACTACATGCAGCCCCCGAAATGTTGTTGCAATCAGTGAGACCCCGAGTCCTTTGGAGGATCGCGGATGAAACTCTTCGAGGGCACCTGGCAAGACCGCGGCGGATGCATCTACCACATTCTGCAGACTTCAGCTCCCTGGTAGCATCCTTGCGATGGCTTTCGGATTATAAGTGCCTTTTTTTAGGCGGGTGGAGGGGGAAGTTATGGAATTGCGGCAACTTTAGAGTCCAGTGTTGGGTGCGTTTGCGGGATTGCGTTGCGCTTTTTTGGGTGTTTGAGATTGAGGTTTAAGGTTTTAAACTTGCTTTGATTTGGTTTTAGGGAAGCAGGTCCAGACTGTGAAAGCCACGAACTCCAAACTCCAAACCCGAACTCAAGCGCTGTCAAACCTGTCTGGTTCTTGGTAGGAAATGGGGGAATGGATCCCTATAGTAGTTCCTATATAATCCCCAATAATAGTCTCGATAGTCCATTCCCGCACTCCCTACTAAGTACCAGGGAGAAACCTGAACTAGGTGGCAATTTGGGAAACTTTTTAATTTCCCTTATGGTTCCTATAGAGGTACCTATTCATAAATACTTTTCAGAGCCCCAAAACTACAACCCAGTGCATGTCTAAGCACCAAAACACCCCCAACGTGTCTTGAGCGGCCCAGGAATGCAGGGCGCCAGACCCAAAACCTTGTTTAGGGTTTAGGGTTCAAGGTTTAGGGTTTAGGACTGCAAACTCAAAAACCAACTCAAAAGTATTTGTGGGAAGTTAGAGAACAGCGTCCTAGCTGTGGCCACTGCACCACACCTCTGCATGTGCAGCATCCCACATAGAAATTACAACAGCTGCGCAGCGACGCGCCATAAACCCTAAACCCACAAACCTATGTGAGGAAACGGTGTAGGCTAAGGTGTTGGTTGCAGTAAGGGCTTATAGGACGTAGTGTTCTGCTAACCAGGGTTACTTGACTGCACCCTACATTCGCAGATACATTCTGCCCTCTCTGTGCGTAGTGAATGCCTTGCCGACAGCTTTTTCGTAGCTATGGCCGTCATGTCTGAAATTTGCAGCCGAGCGTTGCCATGCCGAAATCGCATATCCTGCCTGAGTATTGACATGGTGGAACTTGCACCGAATCGTGCTTCATGCTATGATCTCAGCGTGTTTATGGTTCATTCGACTCACGGCAGCTCTGAGTTTGCCACAGTCAATTTAGACTGAAAGTGTGCTCAACGTTTTGAATTGGCACGGTAGCTCTCACTGTTGTACCAGGTACCAACCTGATAGCGGCTCTGCTCGGCAGCTTTCTGCTTAAATACTCAATTGTTGCGCCGCGGCCGCTGTGAATCAGCGGTTTGCAAAACGCTTGATGTCTGCATTTTGAACGATGGTTTAGGGAAGCGTTTTTGCTTAAAAGCTGTTTTGGGAAACGTTGAGGCTGAGATGGTTTGGAGGCATCTTGTGGCAGGGTGGTTTCGAATCTGAAGCTGCAAAGACTTAACCCTTATCGTGCCCTGGTACTAGCCCGTATACTATTAGGGTGATATATTAGGACCTTAATAGTAGCCCCATTATAGACTGTTTTTGTATGGGGGTAAAGTATTATGTAATTACATAGGTTACAAAGGAGCCATGACAGTACCCTTACAGTATCCTTGATACTACGCCAAAAATGTGACTTTTGCAGTACCATTATGGTCACCCTTATCATACTCCTATACTGGCCAAAGATATCCCCCAGGGCCGATACGTCGTGGACAAGTACTCCTACGACAGTCTTGGCAGACCTGTGCGGGCCAACTATGGTTGCTGGATCGTAAACGCTTGAGGGTTTACGGTTCGTAAGACAGTTTCAGGTTTGGGTTTCTTCAGGAAGTCTATACTACATGTGGCTCGTATGCGTCATCATTTGGACGGCTCGGCTAATGCAGTGGTTTTAATGCTGCCACTGGCGTTTCTGTCAGTTAAATCTGAGGGTTTTAGAAGTTTTCGCGCTCAGCCGATTTGTGTACCCAAAATCTTAGAGCTTGTCAAAGGTTTTGGGTGGCCCCTGCGTAACAAAGTTTGTATCAACAGCTGGCTTGTGCGCCGACACTTCGGGGCACACCCATTTCTCAGGTGCAAGCACGACAGAGAATTATCGAACAGCTGGGGCGACAAGGTTTTGCGACAGGGTGGGCCAACCGTCCTTCTTGGGAACACTGCTTTCAAAGCCTCTATCATAAGACTACATGTCGTCACTTACTTAGCATGGCAGCATCGCGATTCTTTGAGCGGTGCTCAAGAGAATCCAATAGCGACAGGCATTGCGAGCTGGCTGGTTCAGCCAACACCTCGCCTCAAGATCCCGCTTTGAAGCCAAAACTCTGCCCCTGCATCTTCCGTATCAGGTCTCAGCTTCAGGGACGGCCGTGTCTGGTGGGGGGTCCAGCGGTACTGGGCACGCTGGGACGGCGACTTCATCTGCTGGATTCCTGGCTTTAAGATTGGCGGGTTTCATACGGCTAAATAGTACGGCAGCAAGAACAAACCATGGACCCTGCTCGCACCGTAATTCCGAAGCCGGGAACAATCTAGGTACGACTCACACCACCGAGACTCCCTGGCTTTTTCGTGGAAGCGGGTGGCAGACCTCGACAGCCCCTCGCCCGGATCAGAACTTAGCCTTTCGGGATTTGCTGCTTGGGCGTGTTTTATTTGTTTTGTCGGGCACGTGGAAACCTAACCTAAGCCGCCCTAAACCCCATGCCCCAGAATTCAACCAGCTTAAACCCTAACAGCAAAGAGTAGAGCTTTGTATTTTCTATGACATGACCCACCAGGTCCCAAGCCCTAAACCCGGAAACATAAGTATGCAGTATGCCTATCTAATAGCAGCGACCCATCTAAAGTCCGCGCAAGGGATCTGTGTCTTGAGAATGCTTCCTGCAGGCGCTACGAATCGGGGCGGTGTTAGGTTCAGGGTTTGAGGGCGCATTGTTGGTCAACGCGCTTTGTCTAAGGAACACTGTAAGCTCTATTAAAGAAACCCGAGACCCTAAACCTTTAAATCCCAAAGTAAACCTTCCCCGAAGCTTCTCGGCCCAGGCACAACACTTAAATCTCCCTGAGATGAACGATCTCGTGCAGGGCTTCAACAAGTGGAGACACGCGCAGGGCACAGAGCAGGGCGACGAATGCTTGCGCTTCAAGACAGGATCCGCCTATCATCGGAGCATGGACGCATGGAGGACGGACAGACGGAGACAGCGGCGCAATCAGCTGTTTCTTACAAAGCTGGATGCTGGCATAGTTGCCCGAGTTGAAAGAACTTGTCCCTCCTGCATATGTTCATGTTCATTGCTGTGTTCTTTGGCATGCAAAATACATGCGAGACGAAGACGGTCGCGGTTGGGTTGTAGTTCTCGTACGTTTTTCAACGGTAAATGGATAATGGTCTGTTGCTGATAACAAAAATAGCATATATTTCAAAATAAAAGAACTGTCTTCCTGGAATAAGATTATATTCAAGAATTTAATTGGTCTTCTACAAAATAAGAGAGAGAGAGAGACATATATATATATATAATGGAATTCAGATTATTGCTGTTGCTGCAATATTAGATTCTTTAATTGAA